TTCCCACATCTCCCCACTCAGCCCTGCCCACAGCCCACATCTCAGGGCTGCCACCTGGCCGGCATGATCCTGGACCAAGGTCCCTGGCACACACGCATGCACGCACCACGCACGCCCACCCCTTGCAAGAGGCCTTAACGACCCGTGTCTTGCAATCCTGAGCAGGCCAATTTCATTATCAGCACTTTGGGGGCTCCTAGGAAGGAGGAGGAGGGAGTGGTTCCAAAGCAGAGGCAGGACAGGTGTTTGTTAAAACTCTCACACAGGCACTGTTTGGGCAAAGTCTTTGCAACACAAAATATTTCTTTTCTAAATCTTCTTTGGTCCGAGTTTCAAAGAAATTTTAATTGCAAAGAAAATCTCAGCCTCTCCCTCGGGGAAGAGAGCATTTACAGCCAGAACCGTCTCGCTCGACAATAATTCTTCTCCAAATAGGGAACTTTCACGCTTCAGCTACAAGGATACAATGCATTAATTGGCCTTTCAAGACAAACTTGGATGCAAGGAGAACAAGCGCCCGGCTGGCAGGGCACCTCGGCCTCCTCCTCTCCCCTCGGCCCCAGCGTTTCGAGCAGGCCCTCCTCCTTCGGTCCCCGCAGGGAACCTTCCGGCCTCAAGGACCACTCCCGGCCGGGAGACCGGCAACAGCCGGGGCCGAGGAGGAGGGTTCCTTTGGGAGCCAGGGCTGTCCGGTGAGGCATCTCGCGCGCGCCCCTCTCTCTCGCACGCACACACACAGAGCCCATGACAGAGCAGCCCCTGAGACACCCGCCACCCTCGCAGGGGGCCTCGGCGGCCCCTCTGAAGGAGGCAATTGGGCGGCTGCCCTAAGCACTCCTGAGGGAGGGGGGCTTTTTAGGATTCAACCTCCCCCACCTCACAGTGCTCCTCAGCCTCCCCCGAATGTGCCTCACAGTCCCGCCCACACGCGCCCACACCCCTGGCACCAGAACTTTCTTCCCCCTCAGGCGTGGCCCTGCCTACGTCTCCCACAGTGTGGACACACACTGGCCGGCCAGCCAAGAGCCCTGGGCCCGTGCCAGGTCACCCGTGCCCGCTCCCTCCTTGAAGGGCAGAGGTTGCCCTGTGGGCTGCACCTGGGGACAAGGTGGGGGGCAAGGGGCGGAAAAATACCTGCCCTCCCAAAACCCTGGCAAGGCCTCCCAGCACACAACCCCATGGCGACACGCCAGGATTGGCGAAGGCGAGGGGCGGAGGCAACCAGGTGTGCTCTGCACAAGCGACAGCTCCTCCTCAGCGGTCATCCAGGGAAGAAACGTTCCGTGGGCAGCCCACTGACTGGGCCCCTGCCCGTCCGGGTGGCCAGCCCGTTGTGCTCCGAGACCTACCACCGCCTTCCCCCCCCCCGACCCAAACCAATGCTGCTGCCCCTTTCCAGCTACCAGCGGGGAACGAGGACAGCAGACGGGGGGGGGACAGCAGCCCCTCTTGCTAGAGCAGCGGGGGGGGGCAAACGAACAAAGGCGAAGAGGGCAAAAGCCTTCCTATTCCGAAGGAGAGAAGGACCGATTCAAATGAAAACATCAAATGGATTTCTTGCCCCCTGACAAATGCAGAAGGAATTGGGTTCTTCTAATCAAATGTTTGGCAGAGAAATGAATTATTTATCATTCAATATGGCCTGGTTAAATGGAAAATGGACACCGTGTGCACAGCTTCCCCCTCCACAGTCCCTCACCTCCTTTAATCCTACCAACTGGGGGGGGCAGTACGGGGGGGGGGCGAGGGAAGGCAGCAGAAAAGGCCGCTCACATGATCCGTGGTTCGACATGGACCTGCACTGCGTGACTCAGCTTCAGGGAGGGAGGGCGGGGGTGGATCCACAAGCATCCAGTTCAGGACACAGCATCTCCAGGGGCGGGGGGGGGGCCGACAACAGGCTCTTTGAACGGCCCTCCTGCCTTGAAACAAAGCCAAGAGGCACTCCGTGTCCTCAGCATCCAATACAGCCCCAAACTAGCCCCAAACTGGGTCGCAGGCAACTGGCAGCACTGGGAAAGGCAAGCAAGGGCAGGCCCAGCAAGGGTTAAAAGGCTCCCCCCCCCCCTGCCCAGCCCCATGGAAGGCAGAATGGAGGCAGCTCAAAGTTCAAGGTCAAAGAGAGAAGAAAAAGGAGCAAGGAAACAGAACATTGCTTTCATGAAAGGCCCCATCACCTCTCCCATTCTGCCTAGAGACCTCCAAACACAGAGAAGAAAAAATGAGGATCTGCAGAGTACAAAACACTGCAGGCTAAAAGATGTTGCTGTTCCCCCCTCCCCCGGCAATGAAAGGGGAGGGGGGACAACTGGCCAGGGGATTCCCTCAGTAAACCACAGCCAAGCTGCTCCAAATACTGTAGGTCTACAGAGCTTCCTGCTGGGTCAAGCCAAGAGGCCAGGAAGACCCACCAAGCCTGGAGATGTCAGGGTCAGAAGAAGGTTGGTCTATAGACTACAGCAAAGCCTTCGACGGTGTGGACCATCATGACAAACGATGGGCTGCTCTGAAAGAAACGGGCACTTGATTGTCCTGATGCACAACTTGTATTGTGGACAAAAAGCTACTGTTAGGGCAGAATCTGGAGAGAGGAAATGGGTTTCCTCTAGGCAAAGGTGTCGGACACAGGTTGCATTATATCCCCTTATCTGCTCGCTCACTCTGTATGCAGAACATATCGTACAGAAAACCAGACTGGACTCAGATGGAAGAAGAGTAAAAA